AGAGGGGTGAACAGAGCCATTGCCTCCTTTTCCCTGCCAGTAGAAGTGGCCAGCAGCAAAGTGGTCCTGAGCCATGGTGCTGATGCATGAGGGCTGGCCCCTTGTGAAGCCCAGTCTGTTCCAGACCTCCTCCTGCCCTTCACTGGATTGTATACTCTGTGGGGGGCAGGAGGCCATCTTTGTAATGTGTGTTCGGGGGAGGGTGCTGTTTGCACAGGGCCTAGCACAGCGTGGAGTCCTGGCTTGTCCGTAGGGGTGCGTCAACATTGCACCTGCAGCTCGAAATAAGCAATGCCATTTGGTAAATGGCAAATGGCGTCGCTTATTTTGAGTCAATTTTGAAATAGCGCTGCAGTGTAGATGTAGCCTAAGGCTCCCAGACGCTACGGAGGTGCAGAGAACGCCATGGCCATCCGCAGGAGCTGCAGTGCCGCTGTGCCTCAGTCGTAGCCTTGAGGGGTGGCAGAGGCGTGCTGCAGATCTGATAAAGGCAAATCATCCGCAGGAGCTGCAGCGCCGCTGTGCCTCAGCTGTAGCCTTGAGGGGTGGCAGTGGCGTGCTGCAGATCTGATAAAGGCAAATGGTAAAAGAGAAGAGGAATCCTTTAAAGCCATCACTTGGCTAGGCCAGGCTGAGGGGCTGAAGCTATTAAAAAGACAGGGTGATGCTCCCCCCTCCTTTTTTATCTCCCTCCCCCCAGGCTCTACCCTCCATACACATGCTGAGCAGAGCCCGTCTGCATGAGTGAAAAGCTAACAGCCTGAGCAAAGCTTGGGGAATCTTGCCCCGTATTAGCAGCACCTGGTGCCTGTGCCCTGTATCCAGACACAGGAGCCCTGTTAAATTAAAATGCAGAATCTCTCCCATCTCATTTCTCTCCCCCCTCAACGTCCAGGCAGTTGGGGCTGCATGAAACCCAAATGCCTTTAGCAGCATCAAGCACAGCTCCCATAAGTAATATCCCAGCGCTGGAGAATAAGACACTATATGAAGTAGACAGGGAGCTATAAAGACGCTTTAAAAGGGGCAATAAAAGTTTTGGGTTTCATATCGTCTTACCGAAGAGGAGAATAACAGAGAGGCAGGAAATTTCAGTAGCAGACATGACAAAGGTCACAACACTCAGACTGCACCTTAGACAAAAACACCTACTTTTATGAAAACAGCAAGAATGTTTGGCAGCTGCTCAAGAGCTGTTACAGGCAAAGCGCTCCACCGCACTAGGAGGTTACAAGAGACTGTTTTGTCTACGTTGCTGTAAATGTTTATAATATTTCTCTGCATTTGTATGGCATGGCACAGCCTGCCTCCCAGATTCAGAATTCGGCGATTGTGCCTCTCGTAAGGAAGCCCGGCTCTTTGCCTCACAGAGGGATTGCTTTGTTCTGCTGTGAGTTTTTTTGGAAGTACTGACACCCGGGAGAGGGTGGTGGCACCATGCAGGGCTGGCTTTACCATGAGGAGAACTGAGGCGGCCGCCTCAGGTGCCAGACTGTAGGGAAGAGGGGTGCCACTAGGATCCAGAGTGTAGAAAATTGTGTCTGCTGCTGGTGCATATGGGGGTGTCATTTGAGCTCCCCACCTCAGGTGCCAAAATGTTGTGGGCCGGCCCTGGCACCATGGGTGCCATGTATGTGGTACTGCGGCACCATTCCAACCAGTGGGAGTTGTTCCGTTGATTTCAGTGAGACTGGGATCGTGCCCTTATGGCTGAGTCCTACAATCCCTGCTCTGATCTCCTCTGACGTCAGCGGGGTCGTATTCTGCTTTCTCGTTGGGCAGTTCCACTGCCCTCGGTAGGGTTACACCGGCATCACCAAGAGCGGAATTTGGATGGGTGAGGCCGGTAGTCAGCAGCCGCTTGCAGGGGGGAGGGGGGGCTCCCACTGCCACAGGGGGAGAGTCTCAGTGGCTGAAATGGTGGGTCGCTGTCCCCAGGAGGCAGTCAGGGCCACCCTGCTGCCATTTGTGCCTCGTTTTGAAGCTCAGCAGCCATACTTATGCAAGCGGCCTCTGTGTCAGGCTGCCTCGGTTTTGGGCTGTCCAACCCTGAGACCGCTCGGTTGATTTTGAGAGACACTTAGGGTACGTCTAGACTACATGCCTCTGGCGACAGAGGCATGTAGATTAGGCTACCCGGCATAGGAAAATGAAGCGGCGATTTAAATAATCGCCGCTTCATTTAAATTTATATGGCTGCCGTGCTGAGCCGACAAACAGCTGATCAAAGGTATTTGTCGACCACCCAGGTATGCCTCCTGGGATGAGGTTTACCTGGGTGGTCGACAAATACCTTTGATGTCGACACCCGCACGTCCAGACTATTGCGCTGAGCTGACAAACAGCCGATCAGCTGTTTGTCGGCTCCACGCGGCGCCACCAAACAGCTGATGGGCACAGCACGGCAGCCATTTAAATTTAAATGAAACGGCGATTATTTAAATCGCCGCTTCATTTTCCTATGCCAGGTAGCCTAATCTACATGCCTCTGTCGCCAGAGGCATGTAGTCTAGACGTACCCTAAGTGTCCACGGCTCCCATTGGCTGTAACCAGAGTGGTGGGTGCTCAGTACCCATTAAAATCAGTCCCCAGATGAAATAGAGACATGCTGAATTTGTGGCCGCTTTTGAAGTTCATAGAATCATAGAATCCCAGGGTTGGAAGAATCCCACGGTTGGAGATCAACCCCCCTGCCCAAAGCAGGACCAACCCCAACTTAATCATCCCAGCCAGGGCTTTGTCACGCTGGGACTTAACAACCTCTAGGGATGGAGATTCCACCCCCTCTCTAGGGAACCCATCCCAGTGCTTCCCCACCCGCCTAGGGAAATAGATTTTCCAAATATCCAGCCTAGACCTCCCCCACTGCAGTTTGAGACCATGGCTCCTCGTTCTATCAACTGTCATCTGTAATCACTGAGAACAGCCTCTGTACATCCTCTTTGGAAGCCCCCCCTTCAGGAAGTTGAAGGCTGCTATCAGATCCCCCCTCGCTCTTCTCTTCTGTAGACTAAATAAGCCCAAACCCCTCAATCTCTCCTCATAAGTGATGTGCTCCAGCCCCCTCATCATTTTTGTTGCCCTCTGCTGGACTCTCTCCAATACATCCACATCCTTTCTGTAATTGGGGGACCCAGAATTGGATGCAACACTCCAGATGTGGCCTCACCCGTGTCCACGTGTGCTTAAAATGTCTATGCGTGTGCTTAAACTGAGGTGCCCTTCCCCCACCCCACCCTTCTGTAGCAGTGAAGACCCCTGGGAATGCTGCTGTGGTGGGCTTATAAGACTGGCCGCAGGGTTTTCTCACTGGGGTACTGGCATCAGCACCCTAATATCCTCTGTGCATCGGCAGTAGAGGGACAGCCCGGGCAGCTGCAAAACCAGCTTCTTTCCACACTATTGTACCGACAAGAGAGCTGCTTTTAAGGGTAAGAAGGTTGTCCAGTGGCTCATTTCATTCCTAGCCTCTCTGGTGAGTCTGGAAACCAGGAGGCTAGTTAGTGGCAATTGTCACAGAGCCTGGACTGAGTCCACCAATATGTTTGCAGCAGGAACCAAAAGCCAAAACTCCTCCACTTGGTCTAGAGCAGGGATTCCCAACCTTTATCGGTCCCCATACCCCTTTGGCTTTTAGTAAACCTTCCCGTACCCCCTATTCAATATGCAAGGAAATAAATTCTAGACTCTAAAATCCACAACTTTTTTCACTAACACTACTACTTTTGGAATATTTCAATTAGGATAATCTAGTTATTTACCAAATATTCCCCAGGCCCCCTTGACAAGCTTCTCGTACCCCCTGGGGGTACGTGTACCCCAGGTTGGGAACCCCTGGTCTAGAGCCATGGTCTAGTAAGGTCCTGTCTGTTCTTGGGATCCAGCAATCAGTGGCCAGTAACCAGTGTGGCTGTATCAGTCCAAACCCGGCATGCAGCCACCAAGAACTCAAGCTTTGCCCTCCGGGAGCTTACACCTGGTGTGTGTGGGGTGTTCTCAACCAGGGGCTTGTGCCGATGCAGCGAGGCTGCTTGCTGGCTACCAGTCGTTGCTCTGGGGCTAATCCCAACTCCAGCCAAATCCGGAGACACGAGCAGTATTTATGGAGCAGCTCGCTTGTTTTCCAAGCAGAACATCTCTGATTGCGAGGGCAGATGGCCTGTTTCAGGTGGACTGCAAAGGAAAGGGCATCTTTGCCTTGTGCTCTGCTTCCTGGTGGTCTAGACCTGTCTGTCTCAGGGGCTTATCATTGGGGGATCTAAGTACCAGGAAAAGAAATGAGCATTCCCCAAAGTGTGATATGCTTGCAGGTTTCTCCATATTTGGTGTGGTTGGTTTGTATCCCCCTGACCCAAACATCCCCTTCTCACTCAGCTGTGGGCCAAGAAAGCTGTCGCTCATGTTTCAGTACGCGGGGATGTCATTATGTCACTGGTTCTCTGGGTTGTCCAAAGAGCCCTCTAACAACAAAGCAGGCAGGCCAGGGCCCGATGGTGTGCAGAGCTCCATGGACACTACTGGTAACTCACCCCAGGTGAAGGTCTGGCCCGATACTTCTAATGGAAAAATGAGTCCGAAATGGTAACGCCCCAAAAACTTGTCTGAAAAGCCCTGTAAGGCTTTATCTGGAAACAACAATGGTGACCTTTGTCAGTACTTGTTAAGAAGACCTGATGGAGGGCTTGGAGTTGTATTTGGAACTGTTTCACTGTTGATAGAGCCAGTTATATTTGTGGTTTTTTTTTAACGTAGCCTAACATTTTTTGAAAGAGACTAGTGATTTTGGGGGCTTAGTCCAAGATAGCATAAAAGGGGTCTGGTGTACACAAAACACTGAACCTCCACCCCAGAAAATCACACGCCTTTTAAAGCATCTCCAAAATTCCTAGTGATCTTTGAAAATGGAGGCCCGTACAAAGCATGCACCTGTTTTGTACGTAATACACTTTGAATAGTAAACTTTAATTATGTAGGAATCATTCCATTTCTTTGGGCTACTAATACATTTTTAAAAACCCTTCCAGAAATGATTCTTCCCTCCCTCCCTCTTAAAAAAACAGTTGCAGAACAGGCAAGTTAAATACATGCAAATGGTTACTTTGAAATTATTTTTTGCAGCATGCTCAGAAATCCAGCAAATTAAAGTACATCTCATGGTCTGCCCAGAGCGCTTGCTCATGGGGATGCTGATTGTTCAGAGGACAGAAGCACGTGGAGTCTCCAGTCAGGGTGCATGGCCCTCTTGTGCAAGGTGCTGTACAAAAGGCTAAAACAAAGACAATCTGTACTTTGGAGATCTTCCAGTCTATGAGTTAGAACAAGGTGTGGCCGGTGAGTAAAGAGACAGATGGGAGATGGGTGGAGTCGTGTGAGCTGAAGGCAGATTGTCCAGGGTGCTTTGGGTTGGTACTGGTTGGATAATATATGTGGTATGTCTTTAAAAAAACGTGTGCTCTTTCCAAACGTAGAGCTAAGCTTAGCTGCTCAATACAGTTACGTGTAGAGACCCCAGTAACTTTAGTATCTGAACAGCTTGCACTGGCCCTAGGAGAGTGGAGAGGTGTTTCCATCCCACTTCTAGGGATGAGACACTAAGGCAGAGAAAGACCAATTGAGCACCTGCCGTCTAATCCAGCAGCGTGGCTGCAAGAACATCCATTTCCTACGCATGAGGCTATGGACCCTCATGCATGGTAAATATATTCTGTGTGGGTGTGGTCTTCGGTTTTATCCTGGGCTATTGAAGGTTGCATTTGACACAGATTCCTATGGGGTGGGCAGTATTCCTCTGAAGAACGCTCCTTCGGACATGAGGTGGGAATGCTTCTAGCATTCTTCTCCCTCTGAATAACCTTGAGACCTCCATGTGCTCTAACAAAGACATCTGTGTCATCTATTGGGCACTCCGAACAGCCCCTAGATGGAGAAGGAGCACTTCAAAAACCATGCACGCCAGGGACAAAATGTGACTGCCCAGGCAGTGATTCACGGTGGACCTGTCTGCTATCCAGCATGGGGCCCTGCGCTCATCTCTTTGGAAAACTGCTTGTGTCGGTGTCCAAGTGGGTGCTAAGGTGGAAAGTCCAGCCCTGAGACTTCGCAAGGCTAGGGCATGTCCTGTGTACCTGGAGGTAGCAGCATTGGTGGTACCCTGGCAGCACCAGCATGGTAGTGGTGGCTGGGCCCATTGTGCCTTTTTCATTTATTTGTGTTTGGAAGCCCATTCATTTTTAGTTGTTGCCCTGCGAGCAGGAGGCCACTCTGATGAATGACCCCCATGGAGTTCTGTTCCCGAGGAACTAACACCAGGCCTTCAATGGCCATCACTGTATATCAATCCCACTCTAATTGTCCATGACATATAGACTTGGCTTGTCTCCCAGACAGTCTAAATGAATCATGCATGTCTACTTTAGTAAATAGTCTGCTCAATGGGATGCTAGAGGGGTTTTGGCTCTTCCCCACCCGTCCAGGAGCTTCTCACAGTGCCTCTAATTTTCCATGTAGTTCACATATTAATGAGCTTCTGTGTAAGCACCCCTGGTGGCCGGGTAAGCCAAGCAGGTTTGCAAGCACAAAGTGCCCAGTGTTGCAGCTGACTCCGAGGCAGAGTGGATTTGGCAGAGGAGAGGACGTAGCTGGGGGCCAAATCCTTCAGCTTCTCATTCTGTCTTCTCTTGGGCAAACCTGCCATTGGCTTTGCCAAGCAGTTTTGCCCAGTGAGGAGTGGGAGCTAAGCCAGAGCACCAGGGGTTTGTTCTGTATTTGCCAGAGATCCGGTGACTAGCTGGAGAGAGTAGGAGAGGAGAACAAAGAACTGGAGGCTCTGTGTTCCCAAGTTACAAGCTAGGCTATACCGTGCTCTGCCTAACCCCCAAACCCTGCCAGTGACTCCACAGGTCATTCATCTAGGGTCATATCACCTCAAATTTCAGCTGGCCTCCTTGGTCATTCAGGGCCATGGCTTCTGTGTCTAGTCATGCTGCTTTTTACAGCTGGAGCAGTCTTTCTTTGCCTGCTCTTCTTCTCCACATTCCACTCCAGCCAATTCCTTTTCTCATCCACAAACCTTCTACTCTCCCCCTTCTGGATAGGCACCTTCTTTGGGGGTTGTCTTGCCTTGTTTAGACTCTAAGCTCTCATGGGCAGGGATCCTATCTCCTCTCTGTCTGTAAACTTCTAATAACAACATTAAGGCTAGGGGGGTTGTGTGACCCTAAAGTCTGGTATCTGCTCTCTACACAAATCACAGTGTTATAGGTTCAGTTGGGCCTTACTTACAAAATCAGTATGTTAAATATAGAATGTTGAGAGGAGGCATAAATTAAACAGTAAATTTCTAGCAAAAATACAGGCTCTGTTACTTCAATGTTACAACAAGCAATACCCCACTCACTCCAGCTTAGCAAACGCACACTTGCAAGTGTTCAAGGTGCAACAGTCATACTCATTTCCAAAGGCAAACAAAATGTGTTGCTCCCTGGGTATATGCAGACCGCAGAACTCTCTGGGAGAGGCACAGACCTCCTGGATTTACTCAGTTGTAGTCAACAGGAGCATTTGCCAGCCAGGAATTCTCCAAGGTGGACAACTATTTCTGTGTGGGTAATAGATAGTTACTGTTAAAGTTATCAGTTGACTACATAGACACATGGATGCTGGCATGAATGGTGACCAAGAGAGGAGACCTCTCAGGTTTGTTCATCAGCAAATTAAAAATTTGTAACAACCTACACTTCGGTGTGGGAGGTGGTAGTGAAATTCTTTTCAACCGTAGGAAACTGGCAGCTTGTTTCTGGCCATAATCCGCACTGGAAGAAAGAGCGAGGCTGTGTAACTTTCTTACAGTCCTTCATGGTTGTGAAGTGGTGCCTGCTGGGACGCAGAAGCCCCAGTCTCCAAGCAAGGGGGCGGATCTCACACACAACAGCAGAGAGTGGAGCAGTCCAGTTTGGCAGGGTTTCCTCCATTCCCTGCCTTCTTGTTCACCTTGGGCAACAACAGGACGAAGGACATGGCCAAAGCACAATGGTAGAAGCTGTGCACGTAGGTGTAATCCCACTCCTGCAACCAAAGAGAATGTCAGCAAGAGATCCCACTGCTGGAGGACTTGGGCCTCTCTGGGGTCAAGATTCTCACATCTCTGGAATTTCATATACACCCCCGAGGCAGATTAAATCCCATTGTTCTCTGACCCAGTTCAGCCTTTTTCCTGTTCACTTGGTGCCTTGCTATTTGCACGTCAAGTTGTGCTGCTTAGGTGCGATTGGTCAAATAAGTCACATGATGTTATTTCTGTTCCCTGACTGGATGAGCATTGCTCTTATAGGGCCTGATCCAGAAGCCAGCATCCGTCTTTTTCATGGATGTTGGTGGATTTTGGATCAGGCCCATCAGCAGATTTCTGGTGTGAACGCCTGCAGAAGCCAGATGTTCTCAGCCCACCAAACTACATGTAGCTCTCTGCGGATGCTTGGATGTACATACTGAAAGGCTGCACCCCCCTCTCCCCCCCCGAGTAAGGACCAGTCACATGGATGCTCACAGGAGGGAAGTGAACTTTTTGTTTTGCTATTCACAGAGCACTGGCTGGCTATTTCTGCTGGGCCTTCTGTCTGGGACGCTCTACAGATGTGCTGGGTGAAGCTCCCAGACACCAGCTTGGCTCGAGGCACTGAAATTAAAAGCCAGTTGCAGAACATCTAGCAATTTATGGTCAAATCCTTTAGAAAGACCCAAAGTGCCAGATATTGCAGTACCTATCACCTAAGATGCTACAGCCTTCAATTGGTTCGGTATGCCTGAGCTTCCCCACACATGGACTATGCCTTCATGAGGCTGCTCTCTGGTGTGAGTTCCCTTTATATTAGCCAGCTGTGCTCCAAAAAGGAGCTGTGTCCAGATAGGCTCCAAGCTCACCTGACCCAGTGCGGTTTGCTCTCTAACCAGGCTTGACAGTCAGAAAGGGTCAGGAGGGTGGATCCTCCACAACAAAGGTCGGCTTCTATTTTGGCCAGGATGAATGCCGGGGGCTTCTAAAAATGAGGCTGTTGTTCAGGTGCCTCAATGGGAGCATGGAGCTCTTTGGAAAATCTTGCCCTTTAAGGAGCATCCTGGTCAAAGCTTCCGTGTACGTGGTTACCCATCCCCTCTCCTTTCACCACATTACAGGCCATCTGGGCCATACCGGCCATGCTCATCAGCAAAGAAATCAGATCCTGAGACCTCTGCCTCCCTTCAGTGTTGTAAAAGGGCTTCTTCCAGCCTTAAACAAGCAGCAACGGAAAAGTAAACTTGATTTAACACAGGCCGATTTGCACATCTCCCTGCTCCTGAATGAAATGTTTCATTGCACTGCTTAGGACAAGCTCAAGCAGAATGAAGGAGATTGTGGATGGACGGGGTGAGGAGGGGGTATGTGTTGTGCTGTGACACTTTTTTTCATCCTTCTAGAAACTGAAATTACTTAAAGCTTTGAAAAAAAAATCCTCTGTCATCCCTGTGAAGTCGCACCCGTTGGCTCCCAATGCACAGAATGGGAGGAACACATGGGCTGAACACAGGCTCAACTAGAGGCTGTGCCGAGAGTATCCCATTGCTCTCCCCTTTCCTTCCTGGACATTGGTGATGTAGAGACTTTCATGTAGGAAAAGCGGATAGTCTAGTGCAGTGATGGGCAATGTGTGGCCTGTTGGGGTTCTACACGTGGCCTGTGAGACGGGTTGCCTGATTTCTCTGGTTTCCATCTGTATTGTTTTTTTCCTAAAGTGATACACGCCTAAAGCAAGGGCACATGAAGTGTGGTGCATGCTGATTGCATTCAACATTGACTGCATCCAATCAAAGCACTGCTACAGTTCAAATCAACAACCTCACCGCAAATTCTAAGTGTGCAAGCGCAGTGAGCAAAACTACCCTATCCCAGGAGACCACCTTGTTTATGACAATCTTGCAGCCTACTGAGACGAAGGAAGGCCACTCATGTGGCCCACTCACTAGCCTACGTTGCCAATCCCTGGTCTAGTGGCTGTAAGAGATGGTCTAGGACCCAAACCACCACCCACTGGAGTCAATCAGTGTCCTTCCATTGACGTCATTGGACATTGGATCAGGCCTTTCATGAGAACTCCTGGGTTCTGTGCCACGGGTTTGTGTTTTGAGCTTTGTCTAAATCACACGAGGCTGGGTTTTCAAGAGGCCCCTGGTCATTAGCGAACCATTTCAAATAACAAATACATCTGAGAAAACTGTGAGCTGTGCACAGGCTAGTTGCCAATGGAAAAAGAGGCAAAAATGTCTTCATCAAGTACATTATTCTCTGTCAATTCTTGCCCAGCTCTGGTTACAATTAATAGCTGGAGGCCTGCATGGAGACCAAATTTGTATCCACAGCTGATCTGTGATCCACAGATCCAGTTGGTGGATATCCGTGGGGAGAAAGTAGATATCTGCAGGTTGACAGGGCTTTATAAATAGACCAGTGCGTCTCCTTTTTGAACTATCTTAGAGGGGTAGCCGTGTTAGTCTGCAACTTTAAAAACAAGGAGTAGTCCTATGGCACCGTAGAGACTAACTAAAATATATAGAATCATGAGCTTTCATGAGTAAAATCCACTTCATCAGATGAATTGGAGTGGAAATAACAGAAACCAAGACATATATACAGTCAGAAGAAGTACCTTCTGATGTGAAAAGCAGATGCTAAAGGTGGGAGAAATTGGCTTTGTAAGTTAATGTCTTTGTTCAAGTCCAGGGTAATGGTGTCAAATCTGTAGATAAATTCTGGTTCTGCAGACTCTCTGTCACAGATTTAAAAGTAGCCATTCCTTTACAAAGGAATTTCACTAGCCAATAACAGAGTGACCAGGCAGGTTTATGTGTGTTACCATTCCTCATGTCTAATTAGTGTCCATTTATCCTTTGTCTCAGAGACTGTCTGGTTTGGTCGATATACATTGCAGAGGAGCATTGCTGGCACATATCACATAACACATTACTTAGCCTGAGTAACACGGGTCCTTCATTGGCCAGGTACTTCTGCTCTTCTATAGATCTCTTGGTTTCTGTTATTTCCACTTCAATTCATCTGATGAAGTGGGTTTTACCCATGAAAGCTCATGATTCTATACATTTTACTTCATATCTAAGGTGCCGCCAGACCACTCATCCTTTTTAAGCTGTTCAGTGTGATGGGTTGAAGGCATTTCTGGGGGGAGGGGGAATGTTGCATGAGAGGGTGGCATACCCACAAAGAGAAGAAGTCCATTTTAATGGTTTCCCCTGGGTGGTGCGGTGGGTTAGGGCATGAAGGGTGGCATCCATGCAGGGACCTAAGCCTCGCAACCTGCGGTTTGGCAAAGCCCACCTTTTAGATGCCTAGAAAACAACACTGCAGTCCACAAAGCCTGAGCGAGGTGCCTAGGATGCTATGCAATGCATGAGGGAGACGGAGCCCTTACAAGGTGACCTGCCGCCAGCATGCCAGGCGGACAGCTGCTGAAGCTAGCCAGGGGGAGATGCCAGCGAGGGAAGGAAGTGAACCTGGGTCTCCTACGTCTAGGTGAGGATTTCAACTCCCGGGGCTAAACATTACAAGTTGGGAGCTGGCCCTTCCCCTTTCTCCTTCAACAGGATTTTGTATGGGACCTAATCCATTAAGTGGCCCTTGAGCTTGTCTTCTGGATCGGGCCCCGCATGTGCCTTAGGCAGCCGGATGCCTCGCTTCCCTTGGTTTGTGAGTCACTCTGGGGTTTGGGCAGAAAACTGTCCAGACGCCTAAGGTGAGGCAACCACATGCCTGTTCGGTATCAGAGGGGTCTCCGTGTTAGTCTGAATCTGCAAAAGCGGCGAGGAGTCCTGTGGCACCTTATAGACTGACTGAAGTGTAGGAGCATAAGCTTTTGTGGGCAAAGACCCATGCATCTGACGAAGTGGGTCTTTGCCCACGAAAGCTTATGCTCCTACACTTCAATTAGTCTATAAGGTGCCACAGGACCCCTCGCCGCACATGCCTGTTCAGGTGCTAAGGGACCTAGCACCTGACGCTTAGCTGCTGAGTGAGTTTAGGCCCCTGCAGGGTTTGACAGGAGTCTTGGGGATCTCAGGGATGTAGACTCCTAAACCGCTGCTCAGGTGAGCCTCTGGACACCTGTCTGCTGGCAACTGGGCTAAGACTCAGACCCACCATCTCCTGTAGGCAATAATTTTAGATGAATTCTGGCCTGAGCTGGATTTGAACCAGCGATCTTCTTAGCCTGGCATAGGCATGGGAAGTAGGGATGCAGGGCTAACAAGACTGCAACACCCCTAGCACCAAGGATCCCAGCTACTGCCCCTTGCGCTGCAGGCTCTGCACAATGTGTGGGAGAGGGGGCTTTGCTGCTAGCTTCAGACCTGGAGTCCTGGCTGCTGGTCTGCATGCCAGGGTTTTGCTCCCGGCCTCAGCCGGGAGCGGTCAAGACAGGATAAGGGGGAGAACGGGGGGCAGCACCCCCACTCTTAAAAAGGGTGCCTCACCACTGTGTCCCTGGAATATCCTTCAACCCCTGTCATTATCACCATAATGTATTGTGCAAACAGGTACCTCAAAAAAGAATCTCAGCATGAGCGCTAATGCCCCAAAGCAGAAGCCTGGGCCGATCTGTTGTGTGTAGACACTCTTGTCCGGGTACAGGCCTCTCTTCTCTTTCATCTTCTGCAGCTGAAGGGGAAGAGAAAGCATGTGAAACCACTCTCAGCCCATGTTCCAGCTCCTTCGTCAGCTTCCGAAAGATCCCATGCAGGTAGGAACCAAACCAAGCTCGAGCTCCAAGGCAGGACCTGCTAGGGAGTGGCTGGTTGGGTTCCTCTCTTTGATCTGAAAGCTGGACTCGTAATGTCTGGGACTGGACACGAGAGCAGGGAGATTGCACCTTTGCTGGCTGCTTTCAAAAGTGAGCCTCGAGCAGAGCGAGGTACAGTGTGGGCAGGCACTGGGTTCCTTTCCCCCTCGCTGCAGCAAATCCATTTCTGTGGAGCCTACACCTTGTCCTGATGACGCGTCACTTGCCATTCCACAGGGGCCCTGGCAATTCTCTGCCTAACCCTGACCTGCTGCATTTTCTGGCTGTTTCCATCCTGGGCTTCTCCCACCCCCTGCTCTATCTCGCAACTAAGTCTTGAGCACCCTCCCGCCACTGCACATCTAAGCACTTTGCCAATGTACCTCACTGCTGACTAGCAATGCCTTTCCATTCTAGACCTTCTTCTGCCTGCTACTGCACCTAGGTGCAGCCCCTCCCTCCTGCTATGCCTGTCCAGAAGCTCACTTGAGCAGAGACGGTGTTGGATAGTGGGCGAAAATGCCCTGATTAAATCACCCCCCCGTGCATTCACCTTTGATCGAAACGTAGGATTTTAAAACCAGCTCTTCAGAGCTCCGTGCATTCACATTTGATCAAAATGTAGGATTTTAAAACCAGCTCTTCAGAGCTGAGACGTCCCCACTGCCCTGGAGATGTCTGGCTGTAACTGGGGCTTTCGAAAGCCAACAGGATAATTGAGAAGTGGGCAGTTTCACCGTGGGCATCCCACTCTCTTATGCAACTTTCCACAGCACT